GCTTAGGGCACGCCATCGGGCTTCTGATTGTAAATCAATCCCGTCACAAAGCAGAGGTTCAAACCTCAAATTTCTGTAGCATTTGATTCTGGATCATTCAGAATACATGCATACTGGAACGGCCTCGGAACGGTCTCACTTAAGTCCGCTGCATGGCGGCTTGCTTGGCCCGGACTGCGCCTTCTCCGCTAGTCCCTTTTCAGCCGTGAAGAATCCGCCAAGCCCGCATCCTGGGCACCGAACAAGGCCCCGCTTGCGACTCACGACTTCCTTCCTCTTCTTTCTTCAGCCTCTCTTTTCTCGCATCCCCCCGTCATAAAGAGAACCCTAAATGTTTTCTCTTTCCTCGCTGTCCCGCTCAATCCTTCTCTCTCTCTCGCGTGCGCGCGCGCAATTTCACTTTTTTTTTTGGGTGCTCTAATCTCGCGGAAGAGTCAGTGGATTCCCATCCCGTACAACCCTAATCCCGCATATACAGGATGATTCATTCCGAAAAAAACAAAAAATGAGTGGCGGTGTGGGATCTCGTGAACGTGCGACATGAACCAAGGTTTTATTGCCTAGTCCTACGTGACTTGAGGTCACGGAGTGCAATGATCAGAAAACCTTCCTCCAGCAGAGCGCGGGTGACAGAACCGGCGTCGAGACTTGAGACTGACATTTTCAATCTCGATCATCTCAACGCCCATCTTTCCTGCCGCGTGGTCTTTGGCATGCAGCCGCCTTGCGAGTTGTCCTGATGTCTGTCTGGTACCTCTTAAAAGGTTTTCCTTCATCGTTCTCCGTCACTACCATCATGCAACATAGAAATGTATTCGCGCTATTCACCTTTTCCCTCAAAATCCTTTTTCGCAGAGATGACCATCTCACCGGCTCCTTGAAATGCAGTGGAGCAGCTCATCCCCAGCGCTCGCCAGCACTTCTCAGCTACTTCACTAAAACATGGAGAGAATACGAAAGCCTCTGTCATGCAAAGTACTCTTTATATGGCCCTCCGATCGACGACTTCGAAATTGACTGATTTGCAACTGCGTGGAATAACTTAGCAAGTAGGAGCACCTCTCAAAACTAGGATATTGCTGCAATACTGGCTACTTTGTTCCCTGTTAGCGCTGGTGAAGTTCTCAGCCGTGAACAACATCAGAGAATGAAAGCCCTACTCAAAACGCAAAAATCCCCTTGTTTCCCGGAATGCAGCAAATTGTTCCCCCTGCTCGACACCAGAAGCCCTATGAGAGTTACGGATTCGGAGCTTGAGCATTTCCAAAGCCTCGAATGGATTCCGGTTGATTTCAATTTCCTGACCATCACAAGATATATCTGGATGAGTCTCCCAGTCAGATCCATTTCTTCGACTGAAACCAGGGTTTTGATCTCCCCAGGTATATGAAGGTGTCACATATTCCTGCTGAGTGCTGGAGTGTGAGATTTGCAGACAACTCCATCTCCCTCGGGGCTAAGCTGTAGTAGTCCGATTGCATTTTCGCCATGGAGGGGTAACTCGGCAGAAATCGAATAGGTATGCTGAAGGAGGCGCAACTAGGTTGTGGTGTGCATGCGGTATATGATTGCATCGCAGCCGGCGAACAGTGTTTCCCTAGCAAGACAAGACTTAACCCTACACGTTTAGACGTGCGAGAGCTAGCCAAGAAACGCGCTCCGAGTTATCGGGATAGGCAACCCTGCGTCTGTGACTCAATTTGGAGGACATGATGGATTCTATTAACAGGCCCTTGGGTGTTGCGTGGGAGTCTGTCTGACTATATGTCGAGTAATTTACGCTGAGGGTACTAAGGCCTCAAACTAGCGTCAACAGTTTTTACATTCCTTGGCAGCCCTGCCAGTCACAGCACTGCGGAAAGCGGCTACGAGGCATGAGGCAGCAAGGCTACGGAGCCATATGGCTGCGAGCTGTGGCTGTCATGTTTTGCTGTTATTTTGGTACAGGCTATTGTTATTGAATTGTACCGATTACAGACTACTGTGGGTTAGTTCGCCTTGGCAGCCAAGACGTTAAAAACGGCACCATTCTGACACCTATTAAGCCACATTACACACCCAGACTTCTGTCAATCAGGAGCACCATATCACGTGATTGCACGTGACCATTCCGTAGCTATCACTTCTTGGCGGTGTAACCACTCCAATCTATTAACGAGATACTTCGCTAGATTAACTCCCCCACCTTCTTTACTCCGTCCTCCATACGAGGTACTTTTCCGCAGGAGCGGGTTATTGCGGCTTCAGGCGGGATCATTTTCTTCTAACAACTGTCGCCAGGAAAAAAATCACCTGAGGTCCGCCTTGATACCATTTCATGCAATTCAGGTAAGGCAAATTCCATCACAAGGCTACTATCCCTCTTTCATCCTAATGTACCTCTGGTTGAACTGCAGAGGGTATCTTAGATATCAGGCCATTTGATTGATGATGGCACGATAAACTCATTCAACAACCCTGCATGCTCGAGTCCTTTGTGCCCGTGTCCTGTCCAACACCACACATCAGTCTGCAATTGGGCGAGGACAACAAAACTCAAGAAAAAACCAGGCCACTCTGTGACGGGCTGTTTATTTCCCGCACCCCCTCTGCCCGTCACCAGCGAACCTAGGCGACTTTTTTTAAGCCGTGAATTCTCCATCTTGAGGGCACGACGAAACGCAACTATCCATGGCTTGAAAAACAATAAAAAAAAAAAAGATTTGAACCCCCCCTGTGTATAAGTGTCTCATCAAGTTGGCCGAAGCCAAAAACATCTTGCGAGACGACAACGGGATGTCGCCACAAGAAGCCCCCGGTGGGAAACCGTCCATAGACTGGTCTCTCTACCTCGTCACAGACTCGACGCCCGCCATTCTGGGAGATAGGGATATTCTGCACGTCGTCGACCAAGCGATCCAAGGCGGGGTGGGCGTCGTCCAATATCGAGAGAAACATGCCCACACCGGCGTCATGATCGACATAGCCTCCAAACTGCACTCAGTCACACAGAAACATAATATCCCCCTGCTAATTAATGACCGAGTTGACGTGTGCATGGCGGTAGGCGCAGAAGGTGTGCATATAGGTCAAGATGACCTGGACGTCGTCCGTGCCAGGGAGATTCTGGGACCGCACGCCATTATAGGGGTTACAGCCTCGTCGCCAGAAGAGGCGGCAAAGGCGATCAAAGACGGTGCCGACTATCTGGGCATTGGAACCACCTTCGCCACGCCCACAAAGACAGACACGAAGCATATCATCGGCACCAGAGGGCTCCAGGAGATATTGCGCACTTGCGACACGGGAACCACCAAGTCGATCCCTTGTGTCGCCATCGGCAGCATCAACGCCTCCAATGTGCAGCGCGTTCTGCACCAATCCGCGTCCGGTTCGAACCGGCTTAACGGGATTGCCGTGGTCAGCGCCATTATGGCCTCACCAGACCCCCAAGCGTCCGCCAGAACGCTCCGCGATTTGATCGAGTCCGGCCCCGAAAAATTCTACGCGGCTGTTCCCCCCACTAAACCGATCATCACCGACCTGAAAACCCTCATCACGCACGCCCCCGATGTCATCAGGGCGCACGTCTCGTCGGGCACGCTCTGCCACAACATGACCAACACGGTCGTGCAGAACTTCGTCGCCAACGTCTGTCTGAGCACGGGGTCCTCGCCCATCATGTCCGAGAACGGGTCCGAGGCCGCGGACCTGGCGAAACTGGGCGGCGCGCTCGTCATCAACATGGGCACCATCACGGCGGACAAGATGGACGCATACATCGAGGGGATGAAAGCGTACAATGCGGTGGGCGCTCCTATCCTCTTCGACCCCGTCGGCGGAGGGGCGACGGCCGTCCGCCGCGCCGCAATTGAGCGGCTCCTCACGGCGGGCTTCTTCAGCGTCATCAAGGGCAACGAAGGCGAAATTCGCGCCGTGGCAGGCTCATCGACCTCCCAGCAGCGGGGCGTGGACTCGGGCCCCTCGGACGCCACTTCTGGGGAGAAAGCTCAACTGGTCAAGATCTTGGCGCAGCGCGAGCACTGCATTGTGCTCATGACGGGCCAGACAGACTACATGTCCGACGGCACACGCACGGTGGTGATTAGAAACGGCTCACGCTGGCTGGGCAAAATCACGGGCTCGGGCTGCGCCTTGGGGGCCGTCGTCGCGAGCTACATGGCCGTGTTTCCCGATGACAAATTCCTCGCCTGTCTCGCGGGCATCCTGCACTTTGAGATCGCGGCCGAGTCGGCCGGCGAGTATTGTAGCGGGCCCGGCACGTTTGTGCCCGCCTTTCTCGACTCGCTTGATCAGCTGGGCCAGGAAATGCTCAAACAGGAGGGTCTCGGGCTGCCCGGTTATTTTGCCTCCCAGGTAAAGGTGGAGATGGTCTGATGAGCAGGGAGCCACAGCGAGAAACGAGAGAGAGGGAGAGGGAATGCTATTACAAAGAAGGAGGCTCTAGCGTGTATTACAGCGGGCCCTGGCACACATATGCCCGCGTTTCTCGATCCACTTGAGGGGGTTGGCCAGGATATGCTCAAACAGGAGGGTATAAGCTTGCCTGGGTTTTTGACGGGCTAGGCGATGGTCGAGATGGTTGATGAGCCCCAGCCAGCGAGCGAGGGATAGGGGGGAAGAGGAAGGAGAGGAGTTAGAGAATGAGGGAAAGAGGAAGAGACGTTCTATCAACAAGGGGGGGAGATTTTAGCAGGCAGGTTGAACGGAACGAAGAGAAGTCTTTATCCTAATAAATAGGAAAGACGGAGAGGATACATGGAAAAAATGGTGCGGGACAAGAATAAGGAAGGAGAGGAACCGCCGATGCATCAGCACCCGGCGTGAATGGACACTCACTCTCCCTTCCTTTCTCTCCCTGTATCTCCCCTTTTTCTCTTGGGGCGCCAGGACCGAGGTGAAGAATCAATCCTCGGATATTTCTGTTCTTGAGAAAATCAAAAAAAAAAAAAAAAAAAAAAAAAAAAAAAAAAAAAAAAAAATCTATACTCTACTACATTCTAGTCAAGACAATCGCACCAGCCCTCGGCACAAGGTCTAATATCCTGTTCGACATCCAGACGCAACCACCACCCACTACCCTCGCCCCAGCCAGGAGCAGCACTGCCATCGCCATCGCCACTCACAATGCGCCGCTCCCTGACGCCCCTTATGGCCGTCGCGACCATGAAGTCCGTGTCATACGCCACGAGCTCGATCTGGACGTCTTCGACCCTCCTGCCGCGGAGCAGCGTGGTCATGCCCCGCTCGGCCTTGTCGGGGGGTGTCCATTTCGCGATCTCCACCGGCGAGGGATGGTGGCCTCCGCCGGCGGCGCTACGGCCGCTTGGAGATGAGGGCGCTGGGAGAGGCGGTTCGAGAAGAGAAGGTGTGCTCGGTGAGTCTGGGAACGGGGAGAGGTAGTCATGTGAGGGTCGGTTGCGGGTGTGAGCGTGAGCGGCTTGAGACCGGACTGTGGAATTGGCGGGAATGGAGAGTTTTCTGGGTCTACCGCTGCCGTCTGTCGGGGAGGAGAGGGATGGTTTTCTCTGCGCGTACATGTCGGCGGCCGGGATCGAGGCTTTTCGACGGGGCAGGTCGGATGATGACGGGGAGGGAGGCGGCGGAACACCCTCTGCGGATTCGCGCTTTGTGACCATGTCTATGGCTCCTCCTGCGGCACCGTGGCTGGAAATGGAGGACTCGACCGGGGCCAAGGAAAGGATGTTCGCCGGGGATTTCCGATGTGCGTAGATATCGGCGGACGCAGGAAGGGGCATGCCTTGTGACTCTATAATGTTGTGAGTGTTTCTGCTGTTCTTTGGCTGGTAGTTCGAGCCCGTGGATGGCTGGTGATTTTCCTTGGGCAATGGGGGAGGTGGTGGAGCATGAACATCGAGGAACTCGAGTTCTCTTAACCAGCTCGCCAGCAGTCCCTCGCCCACCATCTTGATATACGCCTCCTTGAGACTCCAATATGCGTAAAATCGACGCAACTTCATATTGATGATCTTGGCCTCGTGATTCTGGAAGAATTTCGTATTGCCACCGGTACCCGGCCCGTCTGTGGGAGAGGAAGCTGACGACGAAGAACTCGATTCACTAGCCCACTCTCCTTCCTCGCGCTCTTTGACGGGGACATGGATTGGCATTTGACGCATGTGACGTCGCTCACGGTCGGAGAACATCTCGGCAAAGATCTCGATCCACTCGTCGAACTTGGACTGCGTGGTGAGGTCCTTGGGGGTGCGCTTGTCCTCGTTTGTGCATGCGATGTCAACCCCCAGACGGACCAGATCGGGATGATCAAAGGCCGTGCATGTCGGGTGGCCGGTGAGATCGATTTGTGCGAGAGAATCTAGCACTGTGGGAGAAAGTGGGGTTGGATTCGGAACGACGGATGAAGGAAGCTGGGGGTTGGGCGTAGAGCAGCCAATGATGGCGACGAGGCCGGCTTGATGAGAGACATTAAATTCGAGACCTCTTATGTGGCAGGACTCTTCGGAGTCGGGGTCGCCGTCGTCGTATATATCAGTGGTGGACCAGTTTTCGGGCGGTTCCCAATACGGGCGTCGATGAGGAGCTGGGGTCCGTGAGATCTGGACTTCGGACCAGGGGATCTTTGCGCGCCGGTGGATGAAGGTATACTTGAGCAAGGCGCTTGCAAGGGACATGAAGCGGTCCGCGGGCCGAATAAAGCGGGTGATGGCCTCTTGATCGGAACGCTGGAGAGTTGAGAACAACGGGAGGGAGTGGAGAGATTTGGGATTGTGCGGCTGGGGGACATAGGGCCTGGTGTCGATGTACCACCGGTTGATGGTGGTGATGAAGTTCTCGGGGCATTGAGGCGACATAATGGGAGGCTGCCGACGACGGCGGTGTGGTGCACCTCCGGCACTCACAACGGCGCGAAACAGTAAATGATGCTCAAGAAGTTCCTACTAGCCACATGATCCGTATTCGCCGAAGAGATGTCGCGACATTCAGTCAACGGTCGAACTGGTAGATGTTGCGAGGCCTGGGAGGGGATGGAATTGGACGTGAGGGTCTGTCAGCAGCTGATTCGTGGGATGACTGGATCACTGAGTCTCTATGGTTTTTACATTACAGCGATATGACAGAAGAAAAAAGAAAGGCCGAGAGAGAAAGAGACAGTGATGTCGAGGAGAATGTCTTAATTTAGCAAGAGGCCGAAGAGGGGATCAACAAGGGCTCCAGGATTCCCAGGGGTTAGCAGGGGTCCACGAGGCTGATGGGTGCTTGTAGGTGTCACTGTGTCAGGCCTTCAACTGCCAGATACTTAACCAGGACTCGGTATTGGACCGGAGGCATCGACGATCAATCTTCTGTCGTCTGTGGTCAATTAATACGGTCGAGCAACGGGCGATCAAAGGGCGCCGCCACCGAGTCCTACGGCGGACTATTTAGCTCCCATGCGACTGGCGTGCGGATGGGGGCGAATTGATTTTTCCTACATAGATGACACATGGATAACGGATAATAACGGTGAGAACACCATTACTTGCTATCGTCCATCCCCCATATCTCCCCGTTTCGTATCTCCCACTTGATATCTCCTCTCTTTACTACTCCCTGCTCGCACATGTGCTGTCAATGACAATCACCGTCGGCGTGTTGGCCCTGCAAGGCGCCTTCTGGGAACATCTCGTCTTGCTACGAAAGGCCGCTGATTACTTGCGCAATCAAGGCACGGCGGCCTCGTTCGAGTTTACAGAAGTCAGAAACCCTCAAGACCTGGCTCGTTGTGATGCTTTAATCATTCCTGGCGGCGAAAGTACAACCATTTCCCTCGTCGCCGCCCAGTCTGGTCTGCTGGAACCGCTGAGGGAATTCGTCAAGTATGCGCCTTCCCTTATCGCCCTTGTGCTTACTGACCAACACCCCGTCAGAGTCCACCGCAAACCAACTTGGGGAACCTGCGCCGGCTTGATTCTGCTCGCCGAGGCGGCTAATGCTACGAAGAAGGGCGGGCAGGATTTGATTGGTGGCCTGGATGTACGCGTGAACCGGAACCATTTTGGACGACAGGTAGAAAGCTTCCAGGAAGACCTCGACCTGCCCTTCTTGCAGACCAATGGTGCCGTCGACAAGAAGCCCTTTCCCGGCGTCTTTATTCGCGCTCCCGTGGTCGAAAAGATCCTTCCCAATGTCGATGGCATCCAGAAGGAAGAACAGCAATTGGCCGGGACCGTCGTTGCCCCGTACAAGTCTGCCGAGGACGAACACGCCCGGCAGGCCATGAGCTCGCATGTCGATATCATGGGAAAACTGCCTGGTCGCTTGAAGAAAGCCGCCGGCATGGGGCCCGACGCACACGCCGGTGAGGAAGCGGGAGATATCATTGCCGTCAAGCAAGGCAATGTCTTTGGAACCAGTTTCCACCCTGAATTGACCTCGGATATTCGGATCCATGTCTGGTGGCTAAGGCAAGTTTTGGACGCGGTCGGCACGACGAACGGCGTTTCATGAATCCAGCGTTTAGGAGATGCTTGATGATAATTCATCATCTACCTCCACCATATTCTTCCTCCTCCTTTTTCCTCTCTGCATCAATCGCCCGACCGTAGCCTCCTCTTCCCGGGTCGAACTCGTCTCGGTATTCATCTCTAACCTGTCCGCCCGATTTGCCGCGGCCGTACTGTCGGCCCTCTTGGAACCCAGCATCAAGGTCAGTGCGTATGACACGCTCGTCGAGCTTGGTGCCGCCTATGTATTTCATGCAATCCAAGGCCTCTTGATGGGTGTAGTATTCCACGAAGCAAAAGCCGCACGGCGTCTTTTGGAAACGGTCTAGACCCATGATCAGTCGTTTGATCTCGCCGCACTTGGAGAATAGCTCATGGATCTGCTCCTCGGTGGTGTAGAACGACCTGCGCGAGGATCAGCTTATCGCCCAGCAAAAACATATCGTTAGAGGACATACAGATTCCCGACATAGAGAGTGGTCGCATCTTTCAGCAGGTCGTCGTGTTCTGCTGGCTTGTCACCGTCTTCAGGTTGGTCTCGCCCATACTTCCGCTTCTTCTGAAACGCGCATCAGCTCACCTCCTGCTTCATTCACCGTATAAGGGAGACACCAACCCTTGCAGAGTAGTATGTACTAGGCTTGTCCAGCCTCTCAACCGTAGACATGTTGTTAGCATTCGGGGACCTGCAGTGAGAGATTGAGTGATGGGAAAGTGAAACCAAGCTGCACCGCGTCTTCTCCTCACGCAGTCGCGTTGCCCAATTTGGCTTAGTGCGGTTGGCGTCTCTCCACCAATCAAATATGGCCCTGCCTATCGACGCTTCAACGCTCCCCGAACCTTACTTGGTGCGTGCCCTGTTCATGGTCAGCAATCCCTTTTCAAAGAGTAATATTTCACCGGGAAGAAGATTACACATCGGTGCCTAGGTATCATGTTGTCTGTATTTCCTATCTTTGTTGTGGTACCAGATTACTGCCTCTGCAGGTAAGTCATCACGGTATCGCACTCTCATGTGTTGCTCAGCCTGGACAAATACAGAGTACCACATCTGAACACTACCACTGGCCCATTCCTTTGGGTTTCAATTTCCATAAATCCTAGTTCTCATTCCCCAAGTCTCATGGGGAAATAACTCTTGCTCCAGGCCTCCAGCCCAACCTCTCTCTGTGCTCCCTGTCCACACTCTCCTTGTTCTCTCACTGGCCATCCTCTTCCGGTACAACCGATATACGTTGTTGGTGAGAAAGCCCAATTCCATCTGAGCGATTAGGGACTAAGTCCTCGTCTCGCCCAATCCCCGAGATCCAAGAAACCTCGATGCCCCCGAGACCCTCGATGTGTCGGATGCCGCTCTCTTCAAATCCGTCTTCGACGTATTCGGCGTCGACATATTCCTCGATGAGTTCGACCACCACCTGGAGTTCAAGGCCTTCAACGTCGTTGCCGTCGAAATCGTAGTCTGCCAGAGGATCATAGTATTCAAGTTCTGACGGAAGAAAACTCCTGGTGCCATAGGCGGCGGCCCACGCGTCGACCCAGCTGGCGGTATTGTTGTCTGAGGTGTTGTTGGCGACGGTATTATTGGTGGTGTGGTTGTTGTTGTTGGTGGTGGTGGTGGTGGTAGTGGTGGTGTTGTTATTAGAGGTTTGGGACGATGCCATTTCGAAGAGCGTAAATGAGGATATATTGTTAAAGGTGGTTGTCAGTAGGTGGTGTGAAGTGTGTAGCGGAGGTGTATTTGATGGATGCGCGACGATTTAAGCAAGTACCACGGTGGATTGTTACTTGTTCCGGGGAAACTCTGGCCTGCAAAATAGCGAGAAGGTGAGGCATATATATACCTTTCCATGGGCAACAGCTTCTCAAGCTACCGGTCATCGTCTCTGCAGAACCTCGAATACGAATACACGGACCAAGGGGTTCTCGGAACCTTATCTCATGGAAGCAACGTTCTTGGGAGAATTTGAGGGCTGAATGACTAGGGGGCCTTGAGGGAACTACTTACCTTAACGGGCTGGAAACTTTGACCGCTCTCTTCGAAAGACAAACAGGGAGGGGACTGAAGCAGCTATCTGGTCAGTCTCACCATCCTGTAGTCGGTGGATACATTTGTCGAGGCTCTTCGTCATGGGTTGCGTGACTGACAATGTGGAGACTTAACTGCTGTCCCAAACGGGGAGCGCAGCCTTGCGGATAGAGTTCGGTCGTCCCGGCGGATGATCTCACACATGGACAGTGGAGTGGGTCCATATCTGAGGCTGCTCCCTTGCCACCCAGGTAGTTGTGTGATGCTTGTGGACAGGCGATACGAAAAGCAGGTTGACTTGTCCATCGTGCCGAGATGTGAAGTATATGCCTTCGTAACTAGGAGGCCCCGTGCCCGGCAGTGAAGACGTGCAAAAATTCACCCTTTCTGATATTTTAGACATGCAGAATTCTCACCACAATCGCAGACACAGATAAACTGACCATTCTCAGGCTTGTCTCTGCATGTGTGGTAGGAAGAGTTGTTGTTCGATCAACCTTCTGAGTCCATTAATCCAAAACTCCGCCAATGACTTACATGGCCGCTCGTTAACGAAGCCTGATTAGTAGGGAAGGGTTTACTCCAATATGTGAGATTTTTTGCTGTTTTGGTGGACGTCCATGGGTTCGATCCATCTGATTTTCGCTCTTTTTTTCCTTTTTCTTTTCCTTTTTCATTTTCTTTTTCGTTTCTGTGGACTGTTCGTTTGATAAGTGTCTGGATCTGCCGTAGCCTGATCCACATCTGAGAATTCATTGCAACCAGTGACAGAGGTGATCCCGTGTTAAAGCTTTCAATGTGATCTAATGTAGATCTTGGCGATCTGAGTTCTCTGTCCATCTGCAATTCCGCCCCTCCTCCGCTCCTCATATCGAATGTTAGGCGCGCACCGTGGGCGCTGTGCTGAGAATGCGCGTGTCTACTTTGCTTCGCGCTATTCCCCTTTGGCGATGTAGAATTTCTGGCTGTGACTGCAGACTTCCGAATGCTCACAGTGCTATCTCCACTGAGCTGGTCATGTTTGTCGCTGCCATGGTAAGGCGGGCTGATCATGTCTTTTCCGGCGTGCTGCGCTAGTTCCGTAGTCGGCTCATAAACTTGGCAACATGCATATTCTTTTCTCTATCCTTCCATTGTTCCTGGGACCAGAGGCTCAGCAAGTCATGTTTAGGGGATTGAGGGAGGTCCCTGCTTCAAGTAGGCACTCGATCCGAAGCTGGAGGGTGAGCACCCAAAGTCAGATTAGTTGTGTACAGCCTTCAGATCTCATAGACTTTTACTCGGTCGACTTTGTTGCCACACGTTGGAATTGACGCTTTCCTAGGTCGTGTTGATTCGGTATCTGGCTTTGGTCAGATTTTAAACAAGGGACCCGAGCGGATCACATGCGCGGAATCTTTTGCGAAGTTTCCCAAGCTTTTGTTTGATAACAGAGAAGGTACGACACTGTACTACCTACTCCGAAAGTCTCTATACTCTGGCCAGGGGAACCGCTGCTCGACTGTAGTCTTGCTGAGGTGTCTCATTCAAGGGCCCGTTGTCGTACAACGCCCGTCGAGACGAATGGAGGTAATCGGATAACTTGATGGATAAGGCGACAGACTAGGAGAAGGTCAAGCATTTACAGATATGTATTCGAGTTGGGTTGAATAAAGTCGATCCAATTGTCCTGCTATATGTTGAATCACGGCAGACGACGTCGAATAAAGCTTTGGAGCAACTTGATTGAAATCTGACTGCATGCGGCATGCAACTTACCTCGTCGTGCCGCTATACTCTCGCCAAATGCTAAGCGAGAAGGCTGGATCGTTGGGATTCTTGTCCCTATCTCTCAAATTGAAGCTTCCAAGGGCGTGGATCTCAGTATATCTTAGCTCCCCCATACTTATATGTTCGCTTTCATCAGTTGACGAGGCTGTGAGCCACCATAAGGGATCGCCTAATTGTCATTAAAAATCCAAATCACGTGGTTGAGAAATCGAAAGTACCAAAAAGCGGCATGGTAAACCTGCTGTTTTGGGAAGACTGTTTCTCCGCAGACGCGCCCATTTTCACCTTCTTCCAACATTCACCACTGTTGAGTTCGAGAGACTGCGTGTTTGTCTTGACCATTGTCTCGTGAGATTCAGACGCTCCTATCCCCATGTGCCTCTAGTGGCACGATTGTTTCCAGTTTGAAGTGACAAGATGCCCAAGATCATCGGATATACACCTCCATTTCTGTCTCGACCATCGCCGGGCTCCAAAATCTTCACAGATCCCGAGCCTCAGTCGCCCGCCTCTCCTTCCAAACGCTCCTCCTACATCGGCGCCCTTCCCTCGACACAATACCAAGGACCCAGAAGACTACTCGCTGGCAGAGGCACTGAAATATTTACGGTTGTGGGGAATAAAATAAGATGGGCTGATCTCACAACGGTTCGAGATGAGTGGGAAGACAGCACCCAGTCCGGCGCCAGTCAATTTGGCCCGCCTCGCTCTGATGCAACAGAGGCCACAGCAGACAGTGTTTACAGAGTGCGTAACATCATGACTTGCTGAGGAGACATTGTTGACATTTGCAGACACTTGCCGTGCCTGTGTATTACCAGATTCGCCAGATTTCTATCTCCCCGTCCGGTCTCTTTCTGGCCATTTGTACAGAACATACGGTTCACATCGCAGTGCTTCCAGACCCATCACGGCTGAAGGAGCATGACCGATCGCCGTTGAAGGTAAAAACATATCAGCTTGGTCCGACGGTCCACGTAATACCGGAGTCTCCGCTTGCCTCTGTGTTATGGCATCCATTGGCTTACGCCACTGCTTCCACCGATTGTCTCGTCACTGTGACTTCTGAAGCAGCGGTCCGAGTATGGGAATTTGACAAGGCAAACAGCTGGTCCCTGGACCGTCCAAAATTGGCTATAGATCTGCGAAAACTCGCTGACGGTGTGTCATGCGACCAAGACTTCGAGCCATCGGGATTTGGCAAAACTCGCGGATTTTCTGTGGATGATTTTGACATGGAGGTTTCTGCCGCGTGTTTTGGCGGTCGGGGTCGAGAGGACGAAGACGCATGGGCGGCCATGACACTCTGGATCGCCATGAGAAACGGGGATCTGTACGCTCTGTGCCCATTGCTACCGTCGAGATGGAAGCCCACGTCAACCACTATTCCTTCGCTGACCACGACTGCTGTCTCCCGAATGGCATCAATCAACGACGAAGAGACAGATATGGATGAAAGACGGGCCGCGGACCAGCAATACGAGTGGGTCCAAGAGATCGACAATGAGGAGGCCCAGATCCACCAATCGACAGATAGCCTCGGTGAATTCGAGATCCGACTTAGACCGCAGAACCCAAGTGCGATTCCACGTCTTCAAGGGCCGTTTACTATTGTCCCCGAAGAAGACGCCACGGAGATTGAGGTGTCTGATATCCATGTGTTTCCTGCGAAACTTGATGAACAAGCCCTCTTCGATGGCGACGATGACGATGAAATCGACCCAGGGCTTGTCCAGCCAATTCCCTTCACGACTATTTCTGTTGCAACGCCCGAGAATCAAGTTTGGTTTGCCATTGATCTTGATGGTGTGACCGGACAGTGGCTTCCAAAGAAAGGGAAAAGCGCATTTGGTGTGCCTTCATCTGATGCCAAACCCCTGACATTGATCGATATTGTTACGCTCGACGAACCCACCACGGACCCTGCAGCTAATTGGCCTGTTTTCACACCGGATATCGTGCACAACTATTCACTTTTCCTGACAACCTTGAAGCGTGTTTACTCTTTGTCTTTGAACGACTGGGTTAGTCACCTGGGCGCCGAACTAACGGGAACCGAACCTGTCGATCCCGGCTTGCGGACCAGGTTGTCAATCCAATGTCGGAGTCAAGTCTGTGTGACCGACCAGTTAATTGAGTCGCGTGAGCCTTCAGAGGCTCTCTGCGCCCCCGCCATCATTGACGATACTTCGCTCGGATACTTGCTCTTGACTGCAACCTTGAATGGTCCTTACGGCGTGATTTTTGACCAGGCTCATCTAGGCACCTCAAATATCGGCCCATCAATTACAGACTTCAGCGTATCTTCTGGCCGTCTAGAATCTCAACTTGCAAAACGACCCGTGTCACCCATCGAAACAGTTCCTGTGCGAGAGCCATACTGTCCTCCCAAAATCTTCTACTTCAACCAGCATATTCCCATCGATTCCATGCGTCAACGTCTGCCGCCATATCTCAAGAAAGCCATCTCTGATCGGCCTATGCGTCTAAGCCCTGCCATGTTGGAGATCATGACCTTCACCCACCGCACCATCAGTGTGCAGTCTGCTCAACTAGAGAATGCAGCTGCAGAACTCTTCCGGCGATGTGAGCGTCTAAGAATCGAACTTGCGGGTCAAGTCAAACAGATGACTGAACTCGCTCAACAGTTGCAGCGTCTTACCGCTACTACGGAGGAGGACGAAAATGGCAACGTCAAGGAAAAGATGACCCCCGAGACGAGGATCAGTGAGGCACGGGAGAGACAGAGCAAATTGACGGCGAGATACGAGGCTCTAAGAAGGAAGGTGGGACGTGTAGGGTCGGCGAACAGAGAGTTGGGTTCCAAGGAACTAGCCTGGATGCATGAGATTGAGATTCTTGGTAAGAATGTTGGCATTGTGAGCAAAGAGGACGGCGAACAAGAGGGTAGCGAAAGAGGAACAACTCTCGACAAGCGATTTGAGACGGTATGCTTCCCTTGATTTTTACTGCCCCTTGTCTAGAAACCGGTTCTGACAATGGACCACAGGTCAAACAACTCACTAGTTCCCTCGTGAAGGAAGCTCACGCTGCTGAAAAACAACAACAGCCAGCCTCACCGAAAGGTCCTCCAGCCTTGGAAGCGTCCGTATCGTCAATCTCGGCATCATCAATAACGCCATCAATGTCAGCGTCTCAGATCACCGTAACATCTCGATCCAGTGGAGCCGCGGCATCCCCGAGAAGTTCGACTTTCGGTGGACTAGGTGTTTCCAGTCGACTGCAAAAAGAACGCATCGCGGATATCATGGCCACGGTTGAGAGGGAAGGGGCGGTAATTGAGGCGGCCATGAAGAGGCTCGAGAGATTGAGGATGGAGTATTAGCAGTACTTTTGGATGTTTCCCGGCTCTGATGAGCGCGGGACAGTGACATGAGGGTTGCGAAAAGGAGGTGACTACAACAAGTACTCTGTGACGCCAGAAAGATCGATAATGAGTGTTTCCCACGCGCCATGGATGCTCAGACGAGAACAATAAATGAGACGAGTTGCTAAGCATGGAATAAGGCGACTTTCTCTCTGAGACTCACTACCATAATGCTTTACATTCTTTATACAGATGAATGTCCTGTATGCCAGCTAGGCGGCTACATCCAGGACTCGCCAGCCACCTCGATCATTGTCAAGTCATTACAATCATGCACCCACCCCATGTGTCATGTGTTATAATTCATTTCATCCCGGGCTCAAAGTTTGATAAATCATCTATGAATCCATCCATCCATACTCCCTTGACCACCTCCACCGTTTTCAAAACCTCAAGCTCCTCTCTTCCCCTTTCCTGCTTCGACAATCATACTCGATCCACCTCGCGACGCCACTACCCCTAGGTGCAGCACCGAAGCCGCCCGCTTGGCCCTTCCGGAGGGAATACTCATCCACGAGCCTGCCCACGTTCATGACGTGGCATCCTTCGTAGCTCATTGCAAAGGGCGGCATTTCGGCGTCGCAGAGCGCCAGCGCCGTGGGCAGAGGGTACAGTGATAGTGCGGCCGTGTGGTCCCAGAGTTGGGGGCGGATGGATAGGGGAAAAGGGGAGAGGTGGGATTGGTCGAGGATGGTTTTGATGAGTTTTCGGGCGGCTTGGATGGATGGGGCGGTCCTGCTTGACGGCGCAGGAACGGGAGCGGAGGGATGAGAAACAGGAACATGAGAGGTTGCCGTGTGCACGGCTTTGTTCGGGTCCTTCTTCCTGGGATGAGTGTCCAGGTCCATTTCCTCCCCGTCAGACTGTTGTGAAGGTTCTTGATTCTGACCATCAGCTCCTGCTGCTTCGTTCTCTTCTTCGTCCGCGTCGGGGAGCTTCGAGAAAGTGATCGCAGTCCGCCGAAACCGGCTCGTGATGTCGTCTCGAAACAGTACAATCTCCTCTAGTGGCCCGAACAAACTCAGCCTCGCTGGGTTCGTCGACCATATACTCTCCCCTTTCCGCGCGTCTTTCTCCTTTGAGCTACCATGAACCTCTGCATTGGCACTCGTCAACACTCGTCGGACTCTGCTGCTGAATACCTCTGGCACGCCCAGTCTTGGGAGCATACAACTCGCTCCCGCCGAAAATGAACTCGCCCACGGATCGTTATCTCCTGGTATGAAGACGAAGGTTGTGTTCGCCAATAATGTGGGAAATTCCGACAAGATTGACGCAAGGGCGTCGAAGTGTTCTTTATATTCAATACTGCCTCCACCCGTGCTCGACCCCGCCATGCTTGCCGCGGAGACGAAATTTCCCATCATGACAATCGAGAAAGGTAGGTCACTTATGTGCCCAGAGCTAGAGGCGCTGTATGACGAGAGGATAGCGCGGATTGCTTCTAGCGTTCGAGGGCTATCGAGGTTGCACTCCCCTAAGAGAGCAATTTGGCGACGAGGCGGTTCGGTTTCGATCTGGTCGTCATCTGGAACATTGATGGTCTCCGAAGTAGCTGGTGCTCTGAAAATACGTCGTTGAACTCGACGCATCTGGGCCCCAAGAGCTTTCTCACTGCCAACGCCGAGGAAATCGACCCAGCCAAATCCTGCGCCCACGCTTGTATTTGTGTGGCCTCCCGAGTCTAAGCCAGTGGAAATCCCTAGAGACAAGGCTCGTCGTTCGGCTGGTGGCCCAGCCATGGTATGCGCGACAAAGGTTCCCTTGATCTGTCCACCTACACCAGCAGCTGTGCCTAGACTTGAATTGTGTGAGCCGTCTTCTTCATAAGCTCCTTCTACAAGAACGATCATGCCGGGACAAAACCATACGCCGTCTTCGGGCACAGGTCGGGCTATTGACAGGTCAAGAACCACACTTCCGGACAGATCTGTGATGGAGAGATCTCCAGCTGGAGAGTGCACCAGCATACCTAGCAGGAGATGAGACGATCCTGATCGGCCAAGAAGGTTTGATATAGGAGTGATTTTATACGCTTGCTGCACGGTTGTCATGCCGCTTGCTGAATGTATAAGATTTGGTGGCTGCGTGGTGGTCGCAAAAGATGGAGTTTGGAATGATTCATTTCGCATCAGTCGCTGGTGGACTAGGTGATAACGGTTTCTGAACATGGAAATCTTGTGCTGAATGGAAGGGAGAAGGCTGGCTGTGCCTTTCGCAGGCTCTAGGCCTTTTGATGAGGTTGAGTACACTAATCGTGGCTGATCGAATGCCGAAATGACCTTGAAGTATGACCGGACATCCAGTTGTGATTGCCCATCTTCCTCCGCTCTGTCCCTTTGAGCCACGTCTTCCACGTTCAATGCTGAGAGTCCTAGGCTTTGCTGACTGGCATCTGTGTTTGCAACTGGACGGCTCGTGGAAAATGAAGGCGCTCGTGACAAATTGGGGCTCGGTACTGAACTGTTGCTCCGAGACAGTTTCCCAGTATCCAGGCGCCCGCCTGACATGCACGGTTCCAGAGTTTTGAGAATATTAGACAACTTTTTCTCGGGCCCATCCTCGACAAGGAGGCCACCTCCACACTTCTTCCATGCTTTTGCGATCTCATCCAACACACGCTCTGCAAGGCCTTCTTCTCGCCAGCCGCTGCCACAGAATTTCCCAATAAATGTAGAGAGCAGTGTTAGCCCTGATGAGGTCAGGGTAAGGTTGTGTTTCTTGGTCAGAGTCCTGAAAGCGACAGGTCTGAGAGTCTGAGGCGGAAGGAGGATGGGTAAGACTGTCGGGGCGTCATGAGCGGTGGCACTGGTGTTTAATTGCGCGGCAAACGGCTTTGCAATTTCTGTTGGTCGGCTCTGAATGGGGTATGCAGGAGTCCCAAAGCCTGGCGAGGAAGAAAGTAACTGCTCTTCAGCGCGCAGGTCAGACGCAGCTTTGAGTGTTCGAGCAGGCAGCCCTGGAGTCACAATTGGTTCTTCCATGATTAAACTGGCTGGAGAGGTGTACGATATGTAGTGATGGGGAATCAGAGGTAGCCGAAAGTCGAGCTTTGACGCGTAAACAAATCACTTTACGCGTGTGTCGTGTTTTGGAGAACGGGTGTGACGTGATTTGCATGATCTTCCCGCGCCGTGACTTGTCTTTCAACCAACTCTCCACCATCCTCTTCGCTTCATTGTTCGTTAGTCTCATCTTATTACCATCATCTCGATTTCCGATTCACTCATTTTCCATCCATCGTGCATCATGGCGACGACTGCCGACGAATCTCCGAAGCCCGATCTGGAGCCCACCAAGCAAGAGCAGCTGGCAGATCTTACCGCAAAGGCGACAGCTGCATATGCGGTCAAACACTACTCGGAGGCAGCAGAACTGTACTCCCAGGCAACAGAGCTGCAAGCCGAGCTCAATGGCGAGATGGCTCTCGAGAACGCCGACCTGTTATATTCCTACGGAAAATGCCTCTTCTTCCTGGCGCAGCAAACAAGCTCCGTCTTAGGCGGCACAGCGGCCTCGGCACAATTGTCCTCAAGCAAATCTCGAAAGACCGGGACGAAGAGAAAAGCGAACGGCGCGGCGAAAGCAGAGACATCTACGAACGGAGGCGGCGCTGGTGAAAGCTCTAAGTCGATGGATGCGACTCCTGGGGGGTCGGTGTCTGGCGTCGGTGACGTCGTCCCCAAAGAAGACGTACAGCCTGAGAAGAGCCCTTCAGACAAACCGTACTTTCAGATCTCGGGTGACGCCGAAGGCTGGAATGATTCGGATGAGGATGAAGAGGAGCAGGATGAAGAGGCTGATGAAGAGGAAGAAGATGACTTTGCCACATCGTACGAGCTTTTGGATTTGGCGCGTATCCTATATCTTAAAAAGTTGGAACAGAGCCAAGAGCATGCATTGGAGGACTCTGAAAAGGGAAAATACGTGGCGTGTATTGACCTCACACCAGAGGTCCAGTCGCTAAAGACCCGTGTGGCAGACATCTACGACCTGCAATCAGAAGTTTCGTTGGAAGGAGAGAAATATTCAAATGCCGTCACAGATCTAAAGGCTTGTCTTGCCCTGCGGGAGGAGCTTGAGCCTCCGGAGTCGAGTATTCTAGCCGAATGTCACTACAAGCTCAGTTTGGCGCTTGAATTCAGTTCTCAGACACAACAGCTCGATTCCCAGGGGAATCCAACCGGTGAATTTCAGGTTAACTGGGATATCCGAAATCAAGCCATCGCTCAGCAGGAGAAAGCGATTGACAGCTGCAAATTGCGCATCTCCAAAGAATCAGCTGCGATGGACAAGCTTGAAGCGGGTCCTCAGAAAGACAAGGCCATGGCTCAGATCGAGGACGTCCAGGACATGGTTGCCGAAATGAATGTGCGACTGGCGGAACTCCGCAAGCCACCCGTCAGCGTCAAAGCTGAGTCGGAAAATCAGATGAGAGAACAGATTTCGGGTGTATTGGGCAGTCTACTAGGCAGCGGCGCATCCGAAAAGGAGCAGAAGGAGAAATTGGCTCAAGTGGCCGAGACAGCGACTGATGTATCGGGACTGGTCAAGCGAAAAAAGCCAAAGAACACCCAGGCCAACGGGGGGGACAGTGGGTTTGGATCTTCCGCGTCGACTCCGGCGGCATTGCCAGCGACCGCAGAAGGATCGAACTTGGGTAAACGGAAGGTGGGATTTGTGGACGAAGTGGAGGACGCAGACTCTGGGAAGAAGGCGAGGGTGGAGGACGCCGAGGACTCTGGACGTTGATGGCCTTTTGGGAGATTCTGCTTCCAACTGGAGAAAATGATGGCTGCTGTTTAGTGTTTGACAGCAGGAGGGCGGACAGCCACAAACAACTCGGTTTTCCTTGAACGCACACCAAAGATCTCTATGACCCCGGGAGAATCTAACTGCCAAAATCACTTGTGATGTACAATAGCCATCGCCTCGACCTCATACAACCAGTTCGGCGCCGCCAGCGCCGCGACGCCCACCAGCGTGCTCGGCGGCCGATGGCCCCCGAGAAACTTGCAATACGCCTCTGACCGCGCCGCGTTGTCACTGGTCTCCAAGTTGACGACGAACTGCGTCATCTTGACGATGTCCTTGGGAGTGGCCCCCGCGGCGGCGAGGCACTTGCCCAGATTCGACAGCGCGATCTCCACCTGCGCGATGAAGTCCTCTGGTGCGGTGCCCGTGGAAATGTCGACGCCGATCTGCCCTGCGATGGTGACTAGTGTGCTTGTGGAGGAGAGGGGCGTGCATTGGACGTGTGAGTATGTCGGGCGTGGAGGGGGCACGTCGGATGGGTTGATGAGCTGGAAGGAAGACATTTTTTTTTTCTTCCTTTTTTTATTTGGTTTGGTTTGATGGGTGGCGATTTGGGGCGATGGGATGTCGGAGGGAGGGTTTTTGGTTCTTAATGGAAGACGAGTAGAGAACTGATACTGGTGGAGGAGGAGGAAGATGTTCTTCATTCAGACGACCCAGTGGGTTATGTAATGTCAATGCATATTATCGTTGGTGTCGCTCTACCCCGCAGGTTTACGGACTAGTCCGCCTGCCGTATGAAGCGGGCCAATGAACACCTGCAGCCTGCAGCCGTACAGCCGAGGTCGGATTAACTTATTCTCCGAAACGTTCCTCCGAACACTCCCGCGAGGGCAAAGTCAACATCAACATCAACATCGTCTTTTCTATCCGGTTGAAGGTATTTTCTTTTTACCGGTGCACAGAATTACAAAATTTACATTGTGGCAAGAGCTATGAACACCTAAGTAGATAGATAGAGCTTCTCGCGTCTACGGTACCCATTTGTACTTGGTACAGGACCCCAGACCGTCACACAAAGGCAGCAATATAAGGCACGGACCCGTCGCGAAATCGGGCGTAATTGTGTCCGCTGATCTGCCTGTCCATGCCATCCGCGGTGGTGTTTGCCCGTCAACCTCGCTGAACCGCATCCAGTCGTTATGGGCGAGGTCGAACGAGCCAAACCCGGTCAAGACGGTGGGGATGCGTCCGGTCTTGACACTCTCAGGCCATTCAACGTGCACCCTGTCTCCGATAGCATAGCCCGTTCCGTCCAGGTCATGGACATGCGCGGGTTTCAGGACCCCAGTCACCACGTTGGGGGTCGACGCGGGCCAAGCCACCCAAGATGCGTTGCCCACATACAGGACGGTGTCGTTCCAGGTGTCGATGTGGATCGTGAACCCCGTGAGGTCGATCTGTGTTGCGTATACCTTCATGCGCCAGTCTTTTTCACTTGCCATTTCAAATCCATCGATCCAGACGACCACTTTTGGAGCGACGTCGCATTTGTAACTAAAGTTGATGCGGGATGACGTGGCCGCTTGCAATGGTTGCCTTGAATGATGCTCCAAGGTACTCCAATGACCAACCTGATAATGAGTCGTGTTGACCGCGATATAAGGCGGAACAGCAATCCAGGTACAGATGGCGGTGTATAGTTGAGAGTCTGCGACTGCATCAAGAGTCATCAAAAACCCTTCGTTCGTGCCGTCAGCGTACACGGATAGTCCGCCTGTGCTTGATCCTCTTTTGACATTGATAAACTGCAAGCCTAGCACAACGTTCGGGGCCGTGTTGAAACTCTCTGGAAATGCCACCCATTGCGCTATCATTGTCTGGGGTTCATACCATCGGGAATACTGGTTCGAGTTAAACGTCCCGGTCTCGTTTCCGTGAGAGGTGGACGCATTGACGACAGGTGGTATCGGCGTCGGGTCAGGACTCCACAAACGGGTCAGTGTTGCCATGAAAAGGAATCCTGGAAGGGTCGGAGATGGGCCTACCTGCTTGTTGGTTCGGTCGGTGTACCCGATGAACTGTTCGTTGAACTTTTCGACGCAAGTATTCCGCCCACGGTGGCTCCTGCGATTATGAGCACGACAAGAACGGGGACGAATACCACTACCCAAATAGAGAGGCTGCCGAGCGAAGGACAAATGTTACAATCCCAGTTCCAATCGTGTCTGTCTTTGGTCGTGATGGCGGCTGCTTCTGTCATTCATCTTACTCTGTTGTGCGTGTTGATTCTGCCTTACTGTATGTTTGTTGCCCTGCAATGTTTACGCCCGCCGAACTGCTCACTGACCCATCCGTGGTTTGTGTTTCGACCTTCACTGGACTAAAACCTGGTTGAGATTGCTCATTTCGGAGCGAGTCGCGAGCGACACTGTTCTAATGCATCGTCAGCCGTGCGGCGTGTTCTCCCAAAATCGGACCGTTGATAGCTGATTATCCATTGGATTGTAAATGATTTGCCTCGCGGCACGCTTGCCCCCGCGGCAACGTTCCAGATATATATGTTCAAGTCAGCAGAGGAGTCCATCACCAGAACGGAGGAGGTTTTCCATCGAAGTATTGTCGACGAGCAAGTCATCTGAGCTCGAGACGCCACCAACGCCGTTTCCTATAGTCTGATGGACTGGGGATTCTCTCTAGTTCCAGCGCCGCGTTTGGACGATTGCAAGGCTGGGCATGCAGGTATCAGCTGAGATGGCGCCATGCCAATGCCACAGCCTGACAACATTTTCGTATCCGAGTGCCACAATTTGCTAGAGCACTTCCAGCTGACCATTTAAAGCGATGTCATCTGATTGTCTTCTGTAATTCTTCTCTTGCACACCACACTGTCGTATCCGATGGAGATATAATAAAGGCCTCCGTCGGCGCTCCAACATGACGATAACGATATCCAGTCGAGAAACAACGATGCGGCTTGCGAAGTTATTTTGATGCATGAAGAGATATGTGGCCATTCTCCAAGAGATTGAAAGGTCACGCCGGCACGAATGAGTCGATTTCGGCTGTCCCTCGAATTCCTGTATCCGATGGCCGAGGAGGGTTGGAGAGGCTAGGGCTGCCTAGGTACAATCTCGCCGCCTTGCAGGAGTATTGTTCTTGTAGGCTGTGGCTGACTTAAATAGCTGTGACCCAGATCCGTATCCTTAAGGGTTGAAGATATTGCATGCTTCAGACCAGGCCACCGTCGAGTGTGTGGAAACATATCTAATACCCTGTCTCGACTTACATTGACTTGACCAGTATTATCTTTGTCCATGGGCTGACCGGGCATCGGACTGAGACCTGGACATTCCGTGATCGAGAGCATAGCTGTTTTTGGCCGGCTGACTTGTTGTCGAAAGACCTCCCGAACTCTCGGATTGCGACATGGGGTTACGATGCGAAAGTCGTAAGCTGGCATCCGTTCCGCACGGTTGGCTTAAACGACGTGGAGCGGCACGCACAGTCGCTGTGCTTTGATGTTGTCAATATGAGAGAGCAAGATGATACTCAGAACGTGCGGCACCACCCTTTCCTTCTACTTCTCGTGGGCTGATGGTGAACGAACAAAGCGGCCGATCATTTTCATAGCGCATAGCCTCGGCGGCATCATCTGCAAAACGGTGAGTACGAGCGCTGTCTCGTTAAAACCGACTCGACATGTCGTTGACACTAGGACTAGGCCTTGTTGTACTCGGAAGGGGCGCGTGCCTGGGAAATGAAAGCAGCCAGATCGGTAGCCGAGTCAACACTGGGGATCATGTTCTTTGGCACGCCACGCATGGGGTCGCCTCAGGCCCAGTGGGCAACAATATTGCTGTCGGCAGTATCCAACGTCAGAGAAGTGAATGCTGGTCTAGTTGCCCAACTACACAAGGACAACCCAGACTTGTTGGACCTTCAGGATAAGTTCTATGGCTTCCTTAGCTACCGCAAAGAATGTAGGAGGCCCATCGCAGTCGGCTGTTGCTATGAACAGAGACCCCTTGTCGGTGCAGGAGAGGTCAGGCAGCCCCCCTTGCGCTTTGCACTGCGTATCCTAACAAGGGTCGTGCAGATCGTACCCTATGCATCAGCCAAAATGGTTGGTTACTCGGAGATTCCGATCCCTTCGGATCACAGAGACATGGTCAAATTTCCAGACAAGGCATTTGTTGGTTATGACAGAGTGTTGAGTTCCCTGAAAGCATGGACCAAGATGGACAGACAGGCTTCGGAAGCAGGGGAACAGGACCAGAGCAGTCCAAGGGGGCGTGGAACCGTGATTCAGGGGGGGGCCGTCACGGGTGGTGTTCATGGCACATTCAGCGGTGGATCAGCGGGCAGTGTATTTGGGATTACAATCAGAGGTCCTAAGCAGGGACACTTGGATATCAAAGGGGTTCTTGATCTCGAGGTGGTGTTAGGGAAAGCGACAGAACATTGGACATTCAAGGCAGGGATCGTGAGAATGCTTCTAGGTATGTATTTGTAATGAGTTCTTGCTCTCAGTCAGAGACACAAGGCACCAGGAAGCTGGCTGTCATGGTCAATCTCAACGTTACCTCGTGTCGTGTGGTTCACGAAGTTGTGTCTGCGGCTGCGAGACACCGTCAGCGATACGAGGACCCCAGTTGTTTTTCCATAATGATGATGGTGGTGGTGGTGACGATGACGGTCATCGTCAACGTGGTATAGTTTGTTCGGGTAATCGGCGAGCCGGCAAAATCCGGAAGAAGACTGTGAGGATGAGGATGGGGAAGGTGAGGCGAATGTCAGGCTAGTTAAAGCTGGGGTGCGTGGTGCGGACAGTAGTACCTGTACAGTAGTCAGTAGTACTTGGTACGGAGTCGGAGAATAGTCTACCAACTACGGGCAGCAGGGTACTGGGTACTTGCGGGTACGTACCCAGGTACCGAGCACCTCGTACCGGGCCTAGGCACCTGACTCGGGTGCAGCTGCGCGTGGGCTGCGTAATGTGGGGTTACAGCACTCGGTACCTCGTACCAGGTTTTCCTTTCGCCCTTTCAAAGTTCTCCTCGCGTTCTACTCGGTCGACACTAAGCAACCTCGCTCACTCGCTCACTCGCTCACTCACCTCACCTGGCACCTCGGGATCCGGCTCCCTGCAGCATTCATCATCCTGTTTCACGAGTGTTAAGTGAGTTCCTTACTCTCGGTATCAGTCTCCACTGCTCATGTTTGCTGTTTGGTCGTGGCGACACTCCCCTCAACGCACCTCAACAGCCTGGCGCCAATGACCACTTACACCGCTGTTCACGCCTCTCCTACCGACGCCTCCGAAGAGAGAAACTCGTCTGTCTCAGGGAGCGACGCCGAGAACGACCATGACAATGCCGACAATACGCCGGAAAATGGCACCTCGACCAGCAAAAAGAGAAAGAGGCTCTTGAAAATCTCGTAAGAATCTCCCTCCCTCTTGTTGACCTCTGACCAGCGCCACGTTGACTCCAATTTGCGCTCCTCAGCTGTGAACTCTGCAAGGTTCGTAGGAATAAGCCCTGCGGCTGATCGATCGCATTGTGTTTACTCAGTGGGAGCAGGCCCGGAAAGTTAAATGCGACAGAGCAGAGCCGGCCTGTGGCTGGTGTGCCCGCAACAACCGAGCATGTGTTTACAAGGAGAGGCAAAAGCCCGGTCTCCGGGTGGGCTATGGGCGCGAGCTCGAGGAGAAGATCAATCGCCTGGAAGCGCTGCTGCAAGTCATGGGTCGCCGGCTAGAAGAACACATTGCTGAGCATGGCGACTTTTCAACTCATCGACCCGGTTCCGTTCGCATGTCCCATCAGCCCCAGCCCTCCTCATTCAACGCTTACCCCCAGAATGACCCTCGCCCATCGACCGCCAGTATCGTGTCCCAAGACACTCCTGGTTCCGATCCCAGATGGCCGTCGGTCGCCAATGCCTATGAGCGAATGCAATACCCCCGGCCTCAAGACGCCATGTCCATCCGCTCCGTCGTGGATGGCGCCAATCACGAGTTGATGTCTCAAAGTGAGAGAGGCCATTCGGCAGCCTGGTTTCCAACTGCGACGCCTGCCACGTCAATGCCCGACTCCGAGCTGCCTCCTTACGACTTACTGTATACCTTGGTGGATCTCTTTTTCAAACATGTCAACCCGTGGTCTCCGATCCTGGACCGTAAGGCCACTTTCGATGCATTCTTCGGTTCACAGTCAATGGACGAATCGGACAAGATCCTCATCCACGCCATCGTTGCCACTACCATGCGCTTCTCCAAAGATTCGCGACTATCCCCCGAGTCAAGGAGACAGTTCCACGAGATCTCCAGGCAGAAGATTATGATGTATGCCCTTGACCACCCGAACGTACGCGCCCTCCAAGCTCTGGTGATCCTTGCTGTCGACGTGCTTGGCACATCAAACGGGCAACAGGGCTGGAATCTGTTGGCTCTCATCACCCGCAATATCGTTCAACTTGGGTTGGACGTCGAGAAGAGCACATACCTGGAGTCCGCTACATATCCGTCGGCCACCCTCCTTCAGGCCGCGCAACCTCAATCCTGGATCGAAAATGAAGAGCGCCGACGACTATGCTGGATGACATTCATTCTTGACAGGTATGCGACAGTCGCCACCGCAGACTCCTTTACCTTGGATGAAAGGGAGATGGACCGTTGTCTCCCTTGTCGTTACGACCTCTTCTCGCGAAACGAACCCGTGGAGACGAGGTGGCGTCGGCGAGGCGCACCTTCCGAATTGATTGTGAATAAACCGGAAAACCTAGGGAGTTTCTCTTACCATTGTGAAGTCCTCGGGATCCTGAGTCGCATTCATCGATTCCTCCATCAACCACTCGATATCACTCGTCACTCCGACATTCACCGCTGGCGCGAAACGTACCGTGGACTAGATGGGGAGTTGAACGATTGGCTGCAGAATTTGCCCGGCGAATACGGCAAGATCTCTCAACTCTGCCACTCAGATCCCGGAAGTAGAATTTCCAACTGGATCATGCTTCATGCTGCGTTTGTCACTTCGGTTATCCGACTGCATTCTTCCGCCGCTTATCCCACCATCAAATCTCCGGTTTTCACACCATCCTATCATGCAATCCAACGCTGCCTAGGCGCCGTGGAGAGCTTGAGGGAAATCGCTCAAGACGTCATGAACACCGGCATGCTGGCGCTTCTGGGGCATCCGTTTGCCTTTGCATTGTGGGTTTCTGCAAGGCTGCTCCTTGTCCACGCAGCGACAATGGAGTGTGAAGTCGATCCGAAAATCATGTTCTTCATATCCACTCTGGAACAGATGGGGCGACATTGGCAAGTTGCAGGGAATTACGCGAGGATTTTGAACGATGTGGTACAGGAGGGAAGCAATGGTTCTGGTCGAACATTCACCGCAATGAGAAGGTAGGTATCTTGGGATCGAAGCACTCTTCCCTCCCACAGGAACTGACAGATCATCTTCAGATGTGCCTACGAACTCAACCTCCTAACCTCCCAACGTCCTCACTCGGTGCTCGACACCGTGACCACACACAACTCGTCGCAAAGCGAACTCGAATTTCTGGAGGTCTTTGACTTTTTCAACTACCCTCGATTGAACGCCATTGCGGGCAGCAACGCCTTTGATCCATCTGTGTCGGTCACGAAACAGAACCAAACGACGCCGACGCAAGGGCAGCCGTCAAATCATCGAGCGACGCCGGCTTTTGTCATCCCGAATCCGGAGAGCGATTGGTTGATCTTTAAACCGCCCTATGAGTAGGCGCTCCGCCATCGGGCCATTGCTGCATATGCCCGAACCTCCTAGTGTTCGTCGCAGTACACATTCTTGATACCCTGTTTGATATGTGTCTTTTACTGCGAGTCATGCCTCACAACGAATAGCTAACAGTATCGGTACCTCGTCACTCTCACGACTGGAAAGGCTAAAAATCGTCGACGCAAATGCCGTTGTAAATGTGGAAGTCTTGGGCCAAAAACCAAGAACGCGCCAAGCCACCTGCTAAGCTATTTAATATTATACCCACTACGAGGTACTATTCCTCTAAGTTCTCCGATGACCGAGAATGAGATCTGGGCCATGAGCCAGCTCTACGGTGGAGGGCGGAATGGGAGGAAAGTCGATCCCAGCAACCGCAAAGGTTGGATCGAGGGAGGGAAACTCAGGTCAGCCAGTTAGACGGATAGTGAAACGTCTGCTCTCACCCCCGCCGGAGTTGACTAGGTCGATCCTGAGACAGTTTGTGTCAAAGTCCCAGGAATTGGGAAGAATGGCAGACGGACTCTTCGACTCTTGAGGCCAACGCAGACCTTGTGAGGCGGATCGCGGGTCCAGAGCCTCCTCCACGACCCCCGACCCTAGCCAGACCGCAAGAGATTTCACACGGTCTCATACGTCCGCAATGCCGAGAAAAGCCAGGAGTGGAAATACGAAAGCTGTGAATCTCAACGGTAGCCACCAGAGATAGGGCTTGAATCAATGCGACTATGACACAAGAGTGCCAGCACAAATGTCAGCTCGTGCGGCTCAACCAGGAAGTCCTCTCGCCATGTCTCTTTCTCCTCTTCTACATCTTTCCTTTATCTTACCCAACGACGTTTAACCTCGCGATACTACATGTCGCACTAAGCACCCACCACCTAGATACGACTTGCGCACACTTCACACTTGCCCCTCAGCAAGCTGCAAAAAGCCTACGCGAATGCACCCGATGAGGCTTTGCAAACGGCAAACCCGCCGAACTGGAGAACGCTCGCGCCAATGAACAGGTCATTGAACACATGGGCCGCCGTCATGAAACTGAGCGCCGACCCGTCGTCAAAGTAGATCAGCTCCGGGGTGTAGTTGTTTTCTCGCCGGAGGCGCAGCGCTGCTGCTGGGACCAGGAAATCCTTCCCCAGGGATTGGACGTTTTGGAGGTAAGCCGGGAGGTCTTCGAGCGTGGGGAAGACTACACAGGGTGGGTGATACATTATCAGATATCTGGGGTGGATTGAAACCATGCTCAGGCTTACTTACCTGCGACGATGAGATCGCCCGTGCTTGGTATGATGTTGATGTTGTCTGCGGCGGCTCCCAGATCCTGCGCATAGTCCGGGTAATTCAGCCTATATTCCGTATACCCCTTCCTTTTTTTTCTCTGCCAAATCTAATAGGGATAGATAGGACTTACAACGGTCTGCAAACGGGTCAAACTCTTGTCTCCATGTATCTCGAACACAGTGACGGTTCCGTTCTTCGAATCGCCGACATGGAGACGATCTCTCCATAGGTTGATCCCATTGGCCCCTGGAAACGTGCCAGACACTTGCTTGCAGACGACGTCCTGTTGAGCGGAGGGCGATAATTAACGTGAGAATTGAATTCTCATCCAGAGATCCAGTCTTTTTTGGGAAAAAGAAAACACCGACGTACTTCTGCTCCTGCGTCGCAATATTGGACATGTGTAGCCCAGCTCCACGGCCCGAACGTCTCCTCCATCGTCCGCAACGGACCCCCGGCGAAGTAGTGGTCATTGGTCACGAAGAAGTCCCTATAAGTAAGTTGTCAGCTCGACGCGAAGGGGGCGATAACGATGGTTTTTGCTACCTCCCCTGGTTAGTTTGCGGGGAAATTACTTACAATGGCCCTGTTGCGGCGACCCCGTTTGCGGTCTTGATATTGGCGTGCTTGACGTTCTTGACCAGCTCGACCACGTCGGACCCGAGCGTATGGACGAATATGGCGATCGAGTCGCCGCTGCGAGCATGGTTGACTGCAAAGATATGGATCTTCTCAGAAGTCAGCTGGATTTCATCCTCTTGCAGATATATCGGGCCTAGATGGGAGGGAAGGAAGGAAGGAAGGAAACCTGACGCGAGAAGAATCTCCAGGGAGCGGAAATATGTCGATGCCGTGTGTGACAAAATCGCCCTCTAGGCCCTTGATGCGGAGCTCTGTGGTCTCGCCGGTCTCCAGGTCGTGCTTGAACAGCTGCTCCCGAAAGGAAGACTCGGCGCGACGCGAGACGGTTCGAACACCAGCGCAAGGGTACCAATGTGTCCTTTCGACAGGATCGCCACAGGCCAGAAAGGCAGTGTGCGAGGGGAAATGGATCTTGACGTCCTCACACGCGTTGGCGGTCCTGATGACTTGGCAGTCCTCGTTGTTGAACGCCGAACTGTTTTCCCAGCGCACGAGTCTGGCTTTGTCGATATCTACTCGCCCGACGAGTCTGCCGAGTTGGGCTGACTGGTTATAATACAGGATGACCGTCGAGATCAGAGGGAGGAGCAGAGACCACAGGCGAAGTGTTGTGCTCGACATGGTTTGGTGTATTTATTAGGTTTTCCAAGAGACGACGGATAGATTGGGAGCAAAATAGCGGCAAATACTTTGTAATCTTGACAAGCCAGAATCAGGAGGTTTTTGCGGAGAAGAACGCACCGAATGATGACCATTCCTCCTTACCCGAGGTCGCATAGCCTATGACAGTCCAACCCTGACAGCTACTAGCCAATCGTGTATGTATCTCTCACGGGGCTCGCCTCAGTTAGACAAATTCCTAATCCGGATACATCGACCCTAGACATTTGTGTTTTGTGCGGCATGCTATCCAAGGCTGTCCTCTTTGAGAGTGATCGGGGAGCAGCAAAGCGAGACAGCCCATTTTTATTGTACTTCTTTCAACATACATTCTGTAATTTCTGATTCACTGCATACTGTGGAGATGAAAAGACGGAGGAAGCTCGGGTCAGTAGTGATGAGGAATCTTTTTACAAAGGAGATACCTCCCCAGCAAATGGCGATGTCGGCGTCTGGTCTTTGCTCAGGCACGCTCTGATTCTTGGCCGAACAGAATATCATGCTGAGCAAGGAACGTGTCGCCTCCTCCGCCTCAATGGATCACGGCGCTGTGTCGTCCTCTGACTCAAGCGTTGTTCATCACACGGCCTCACATGGGGCCGGTGGAATAAGGATTGTTGGAGAGCCGGCTAATATCCTAAAAGAATGATTCTTGCCATTTACACTTCACTCCTTCTGAGCCGCCATATCAGCAAGCATCGTATTGAAATGGCCACTACATATGGGACGCGTGCCAAAGAATATGGAGCATTGTTTATGGTTGTAAGCCCAACATTGTCAGAGGTGATGATAGTGGTGGTGCTGTTCCTTCTGTTGCCTAGATAGGAAATGTGGGGCCCTCCACATTGTGGGATTGATGAATGTTCTACGGTATATTGGGGGTAAAAACGACATCGACTCTGGATGAGGCTGACATCAAGACACTATATTGAACCTCTAACCAAAGACGATAGAGTTGGCCATCGGCGTCCCTCAATTCTGCCACCATGTCGACAGTCACGGTCGAACATCCCTCAATAGGACCAGTCAAGGGTCTTGTGCGCGATGGGGTGTATCAATTCCTAGGGGTTCAGTATGCAACGCTCAATGACAGACTGGCTGAAGCTCAGGTTAAGTCGACATATGAAACTCCAGTCAATGCCACAGGTCATGGGTAATTTGATTCTTGCCATTGAGCTTGTTGAGATATTGACATCTTCAGGCCCTCTTCATACTCTCCCGCAAATGGATATGACAACGAGATGCTATTTATTCAGCAGTCAATGCCCAAGCCAAATATCGTCCACTCAGACCTGGAATGCTTAAATTTGAATATCACAGTGCCGAATGGCCAGGACGGCGTCAACCTTACAAAGCAAAAGCTCCCCGTGTTCATCTGGATGCACGGAGGGGGTTTCGTTGTCGGAGCGAATTCCTGGCCGCATTATGACCACGCCAAACTCATCCAGCTTACCAGTGCCAATGGAGTCCCGGTCATTGGTGTCGGCATCAAGTACGTATCCACATCTTCCCAGGGGAATAGACAGCAGTGGGATTTGGGACTTGCCTTTAAGCACTGCTAAGAGGAGATTAGCTTCCGTCTAGGACTGCCAGGCATGTTGACCTCGGAGGAATTGCGCCAAAAGGGATACAAATCCAACAATGGACTACGTGACCAGCGCGCGGCTTTCCACTGGGTGAAACAGCATATTGCTGGATTTGGCGGCGATCCAGATAGCATCACTGTGATCGGCGAGAGTGCCGGAGCAGGTATGTAAAACACCCCTGATTTGAGCTCTTTCTCATCGTGCGAAGACGTACAGCTAACTGGAGAGATTTTTCAAGTTGCCACCACGCTGCACTTGTATTCAAAAGAGCCGCTCTTCAACCGGGCAATAGCAACGGGTGGTTCTTGCCTCCTGGTTCCTCCGTTCGCTCTTGAGGATCAGGAACGCACGTACCAGCAGGTTCTGTCCATCCTGGGCCTCGAGAAGCTCGATGCCGAACAGCGGATCCAACAGCTTCTGACCATACCAATGGACGAAATCATAGCTAAAATGCCACCATATGTCGCATTCTTGCCCACGGTCGATGGAGACATCGTTCCTGTGCGGCCAACTTTTGCAAGCATAGCCGATAAGTCGGATCAAAGCATGCCTGGCAAGCAGTGGGCTGAAGCCTTGATGATCGGACACAGCCAATTTGATGTAAGTTCGAACAAGCAAAGCCTGATTGATCTGATCATTGCAAATTTTTGCAAGCTGACAGATATCATCTCCCTTCTAGGCATCCGTCCTTGGATTCATGCTAGGACACCTCAAGTCTGGCATCAGCGAGAAGTTCCCCGCATCCGTGAGATCCTCTCTGTCGGCAACACCAGATCTCGCAGAACATCTACTCGACTCGTACGGTTTCAGCGACTCGACGCTGGACGACGACACCGCATTCGTCAAATTCCTCGAGTTGGTCAACGATATCAGCTTCTTTGGCGCGACCACCTGCTTTGCTCGAGGCTGGCCCCTTTCTTTGGGCTCTGAATCAAAAACCTTCACGTTTTTCTTCAACGAACCGAACCCGTGGCCGGGGGCTTACCAGGGTCGAGCGACCCACGTACTCGATGTCGTGTTCTTGTTCCAGAATCACAACCTGAACTTGCCGCCCCCGCAAAGAGCTGCTGCCGAGGCGTTCGGGCTCGACCTGGTCAAGTTCGTCGCCGGGCAGAAGCCCTGGCAAGGGTACACGCCTGAGAAGAGGGCTGCGAAGATATTTGGGCCGTCGTACGGGGATGAGGGGAAAGCGAATGTCAGGGTTATTGATGATGCGGAATCTTTGGAGACGGGGAGAGGCAAGGCGATCCTGGAGATTGGAGACAAGGTCGGGTTTGACAAGTTGAATGAGGCAATTGGGAGGTTCAGAATGGGTCTCTGAAGTGGATGGAACGGAAATAGAAATAGCCCCGTGCATAGGCCCCTAGGGGATCGGATGTTGGCTGACCTTCGCTCTTTGTAACCAGGGGCCCAGCCTCGCTGGATTTTGGGGAAAGTTGGGGTACACACTCATACACACGCACACACATACGCGGATCGCTTTTTATCGGTGCTTCTTGCCTTCTATCCTTGCTTCATTCATACATCTTTATTTGTAAGAGCTCCTAATGGCTTGATCTTTCCCCGATCAGCCTTAGCCATGGAATGCAGGGATGGGAATTGCACGGATGTTAGGTCGGAAGTAAACGTTCAACTTAGGGAGTGAACGGTTGAGCGGACAGAGTACCGCGGAAGAGGCGAAGGATGTTTCCCATCTTGATTTCCCGTAGCGGCCGCGAACCAGGTTTAAAGAGATGACGAGACGGCGGAGGAGGTTTTCAGGTTAGAAGCCTGTCCATCGCCAACAGAACTGCGACGCGACGCGTTCTTCTCGGGAACGATTTATACGATTTTACGTTGCCTGCATTTTATTCACTGAAACGCTTTGCTTCTTGGACCGGGGATGCTCAGAAGATGCCAAGGTGGAGTATATGTGCTTTGATACAAAAGATTATCCCCGGAAAAGTAATGAAAGACTCAAATTGACCTACAGAGGGAGCTCTTGGGGCAGAAGTTGGAACCTGAGCAATATGAGGGTTCTATCACGGCAACAAGTGATTGAAGCACTTTAATTGGTGTCATGATGATAAGTTCCAGGACTACGGAGTCGAAGCTCTCGGTACAGAGAAGAGCAGCCAAGCCTTGATGGCCGAGTCAGGCCCGTGCCGTGACAGGTTCTCATACCTCTACTTGTAGTGTGTGAAACGTACAGCAGTCCAGATGGTAGAGAGTATCGGTCTGTTCTCAGAGATGTCGGTGTATCGGCCATTGTAGCGATTTCTTTCCTATTTGTATAGATATCCGGCCTATATTTAAAATGCAATTCCGAAACACTCCATATCAACGTTATCCGTGACGGTGTCATCCTGTCATATAACCATCATGTCTTGGGCTGCATGGTTACCCCGGTATGAGTTCGAGAACCAGTCTTCGTGATTCGACCGAGTTAAATCGTTGCTTCTGTGGCCTAGCCATTACTCTCTCTACAGCTGGAAATTCCGTAGGAGTAGGTGCAGCGAACACAGGTGTTTTTTCCCCAAAGGAGAGCCGTTCTAAACTTGGATGGTGGTGGTAGTGCGACTCCTTCCTCAAAGGAGCTTGTCGAGCATCTCTGCTGTTGAAGCTCGCTTAATAGGGTCGACAATCGCCATATCTCGGAGGTTACAAAGTTGCTTGTCATTTGCAGCCTCCGGAACTGCCTTGATCCTGAGCTCCGTATTGTCTCGCGGTAATTCGCCCCTATTCGTAGATGAGAGTGACAAAGAGTGACCGTGACCAGACATCCATCTTCTGTGTTTGCCATGTTCCCGGAATCTGCGCTTCAGGGGTCATAAAAGATCTAAGTTCCGACAGGAGAGTGAGCGTTCTGGACGACATTTGAAAGGCCAAAATCCGTGAGTTGAAAGATATACCTGCGTTTCGGTAGAGCCGTATAGAGACTATTCGAGGGCTTGATATCTCGGTGGACAACGCCTTTGAAATTGAGATAGTCGAGCGCTTGGAGCATCTTGTCAATGAGAGACTCGGCCAATGGCTGATATTGGATAACTGAATTGGCACCTTTTGGACAGAGATCCATTATGCTACCATCTTTAAAGGCCGTGAAGATCTCAAGGTGATCTTGGCCCTGCCCTTGTGTTGATACGTACTTGGAAAGATTTAGCACATAGTATTAGCTGATGGTGAAGGACGTAATTCCAGTAAAGTCTATAACTCACATGAGAAAGACGAGCCAGAATCTCCACCTCACGCTTTAGGTAAATTTGCCCGGGTGAATAAATTTCGTCTTGGGGCCTTTTACTAGCTTGACGGCGGAAACATCACCAGAATCAATATTCACTGCCTTGAAAACCTTGCCGAACGTGCCTCTTCCGAGATGTTCACTTTTGGCATACCTTATCTTCTGCTCTTGACCACCAAGTGTATGAATACTCGTGACGCGCCAGGATGGCAAACCGGTCGCCCTCTCGTCAATGGTTTGTACAAAACAGGGATAGTCTTCTCGATAGCTGCTCTACGCGCTAATATCGGATGCAGACTTGTGCCAGTGCACCCTAAAATTGGACGAGATTGCATCCGGTACCACGTTAAACGAGGGTCGCTTGGAACAGTTGGTATAGAGGCCAAGGCATATGAAAGTATTAAGAACATATGAATTGAAGACAAAATTTAGAATCCCAATTAGGGAGAATATCAGGGACCTACGCAACGCAGTAGGTACAAAGGAATTGGAGTAGCTGAATGCCTTGTTCTATTCACGTAGCCCTATTGACAACGACTCAACGCTTGAGAAAAAGGAAGAGTTCTCTCTCAGCCGATTCAGGTGAGAGGAGACTCTTATAGCTTCCCCTCTTTCTGTCACGTGAAAAGGGTAAGGCAGCGTTAACCGATAGCCTTGTGCCTCAACCGTCCTTTGCCTTATCCTTTCCTTTTCTTTCTATACCGTCCACCCGATTCGGGTGGAGGGCGTAGAGTACTTGGGGACAAAGGTGGGCTCGTGACAGAGAATCTCCCAGAATGACCTGGATGTATGAAGAACTTGACGACAATGCCCCTCGACTCCTGAGGGTATGAAGAAACTTCAACGACTCCTTGGACTGCGGCCTGGTGGGGACCGAAACCACCAGGCACATGCCCCTCTTTCGAACTCCGAGTCTCTGGGATCACAAGCAATGTCGTGCTTTAATAATGGTCGCACAAGTAACGACTTCCCGCCGGTTCACGACGCAGTTGAGGCGACTACGAGGAGTACGAATAGGCGGAGTAGGAGCTTCCATGCAGGCTGCCTTGCCACGAAAAACTCACAGCTAACTGAAGAACCCGCTAGCCGAATCCTTCGGCGTGCGCATTCGTCGAAAGTGGGCAAAGGAAATGTGCCGAATTCAAACATTCCTAAATGCTACGTTCGGAAAAAGAGCCATCAGTCAATTGAGCGCCATGAAATACCCAGTCAAGGAAAGAATGACAAAGTCTTATTTGGCAGACAAGGGTGATAACCATGGTGATGATGCTACTGCTACGGCGAAATCAATTTATGAACATCAGCGTAACCGCTCTGAAGGATCCACTCACAGGAGCAGGCCGCCTGCCGTTGGGTTGATAGAGCGAGACCGAGTGTCTAAACAGAGGAGCAATCCTAAACCCCAATGAGGGATTGAAGATCGCAGCAGCCTTGCGATATCTAGACTCTCGTCGAGTAGGACACTCAATGTGGCTGGAAGGGGGAATTGTTCTCCGATTCAGCCGCGAGTTACCACTGGCCCACTACGACGCGGCTCGCGGATAGTCAAATGACTTCAAAATTTTCAATAGGGAAGAAAACTCCGAGCAAAAATATACAACAGGGCGTCTCGGCGTACAGTGACAAGGGACCGCGAAGCTCTTTCATCTACATGACCATGTCCCAACCCCCTACCAGCCAGAGACGCCCCACAGCGAAGTCATGAGACATGTACCCACGGTGCAAAGTATCCAACAGGAGTCCAACTGTGGAAGCCTTCCTGAAGCACGGATGAGAACAGTTGTCAACGTGGGGTGCATGCCCTTCAACAGTGAATGAAGGAATGCGCAATGAGTAATCAAGGAGCAGAATGCGAGGAGTATTACATACAGCCGGCCAAAACAAACCACAGAGAGAGAGAGAGAGAGAGTAGGTAGAAGAATAAGAATAAGAAAAAAGGGCTTAATTCGCAAGTGAGTTCAGAAAATTCCCGGTTTGTCTCTCTTTCTCTCATTCCCTCATTTCTAACAACTAGCTATCGATAGAACATGCGCCTGATTACAAATTCTTCATCCAAGACATGTACTTGCCTTGCCTTTCTTGAACTGTTTGTGCTGGTATGGTATTCTTTTCATTGACGAAGTGGTTGGCACGGCTAGCCCGAAGCTGGTCGTTCCCTTTGGTATTGTACACCGGGCTAATAGCTGTTTCGGGGGGCCAGGAGTTATTCGACACCGCATGGTGTGTTTGCAGGAGTGGCGGGCCGTGGTTAACTTGTTCAGCTGTAGCAGGGGTACATAAGGCGTTGCAGACTCGGGGCTCTGAAAGCTAGAGGAATCATTCTGAATGAAGGCCCTTTTTTCCCCTTGATGATCCTCTCTATGTCCTCTTCCTTCTCCGCCCCATGATACTATCGGACCCTATCGGTATGGTAGTTACAGCAGGTTTCTCAGCTGAATTTGGCGGCTCCTTGGTAACAGCAGTCTCTTCAGTCGGCGGCAGCAGCTTGACGATTCGTAGTTCCATCAAGTCCTGATACGCACCTTCTCCCAGACATTGGCGCAGCAATATTTCAGGCAGAGACAGGAAAACCGATCGGGCGCGGTGCACCCTGCTTTGCCATTCCTTGTGTTTTTGTTCCCGCCTGTTGAGTTTCTTGGGGACCTTGATCTTGCGGTCTTGTTGTCCGCTTCATCCTCCTTCGTCGTTCACCTTGGACTGATACCATATGTGGCAGGTGAACTCGTAGTAGTCTTTCCGAGGAATGGTGAAGACCTGGTCATGTTTGCTTGGATCCTCCAGAAGCTCGCGTACAGGGGAGCGGTAAGAGCAAGAATTTCGCCAAGGCGGGCACTCCTTGAATTGCCCGGCAGGAACCAATCTTGCGGCTTTGGGGGCTCGATCTGAACCTTTCCCTCGATGTAGGTCAAGATGCTTTTTGGAATAGAACTAAGAGGCCTTGCTTGGTCGTTGACGATGCTTGGTAGTGTCGATCGTCTCGCGCAGGAGTGGAATAATGAAGCGGTCAAAGTTGCCTACGTGAACGCTTGCCGTGTCATTCGCAATCTTTCCGAGGAGCTGCCCACCTTTGTCCAAATCGTCTCTCGCAAGTTGATACAGCAACGCGACAATAGAGGCGTCCTTTCTGCCCTTCTCGCTGTCACTAATACCTGGCCATGAAGAAAATGGATAGTCCTCACGGGGACAACTCTGTCTCGAGAGAGACGAAAATTGCTGCAGCCGGAAATTGAGATAGACGAATCTAAAATCAGCGACACAAGGTCTTTGACCACCAAGGCTGGCTTCTCAACTGTTTTGGAATAGCAGAGGATTTCCACTAAGAGGGCATTTGCGAAGGTCGTGTCATTCAGAAAGCGACGTACAAAAGCGTTCATGGTATAACAGCAATATTCAGTCAGCGTCCTAAGGAGAGCAATGCCCCTGGTAGGCTCAGCCTACTGGCCTTAGATTCAGTTAAGAAGCTTACATTTCCCAGAGCCTTTGGTTCTCATACGTGCTGATAATCTGGACCAGAGCTCCGGCATCCTAGGGTAAGACCTTGGTAATCGAATTTATGGCCTTGTGTTGACAAGGTTGCAAGATAGTCACTGAGGTAAACCACCTGAGACGCTAGACGGGTCACCAACTGCGCAAACTGCCTCAGCCTCGTTGTTCCTGCAGTCCTGTGACATGATGGCGACGGAATAGGAGGTTTCAGGAATGCTCTTGTGGTTACCGGCCAATGTATATATAAACAGACAGAGACTCTCTGAGTGGCCAGGGGGACAGGACACAATCAACCAGATAGGTCCACAACTCAACCTCTCGTTCAACACCTTGCAAAAAATATTCACTGCCCATTATGGACAGTGCCTTCTGATCCTTTGTGGGTCTCCGGTTGAGCCGCACCGGATATCCTTGAGCAGAATGCTCGAAGCCTACGATCAACCAGGTACAGTTTTGAAATCCGAGAGAACACTTCTGTGGAGCTTAAATGGTAGCATTAGTAGACGCCGAGGCATACATAATTCACAACCAAGCTTACAATTCTCTCGTTTTCTCGAACCCCAGTCTGCCGAAGAGCTTGAAGGTAGGTGTGGCGAAGCTATCCCCGACGGCGTCAAGGGCGGCTCTGCCTAGCTCGGGTTTGTCGATTTTTAGCGACGCCACTGTTGTTGGACCCATAGAATAATCTTTGTCGCGACTGCTATTGTATCGCTCTTCAATATGCCTCTGGCATGTCTGGGCGATCATTTCGCGGAAGACTTCATTGCCGTTCCGGTCCCTGAGGTTGGCCAAAAGTCGTCCGAGGAACCCCGAGTACTGGACAAGCCTATGATTTCGTCCAACGAGAAATTCTGTCACACGATCCCGAGAAACAATGACAGCGACCTCCATGGGCTGTAAGCACAGATTCAGCCTAAACTTGGCACAATACATACCGCATCATGGTAAGCTTGTTCGATCTCAGCATACCGATTGCCCATGTGCTCACCTCCCCATTATTCATCGTGCTCGGGAGCCTCATATAGGTCCGGTGCGAAAAAATCTGCTTCTATCGCTAAGGAATCTTGAACCCTGGCGCCTTGCTGGGTGACTATATTGTTCAGGCGTAGATCTTTTGTCCCTTCTTCCTCGTCGTTGATTCGAGTCATGGTTAGCTGCAGCTGGGACAGGAAAACACAGAAGCCATTTGACTGGCAAGCTCTGTCGGGATGAGAAATGCGGTAATAGTCATCGCCATTTAGACTCTGCAGTTTGATACTAGCACCGGTATACTTGTCCTGAAGCGCGTAATACATGCAGAGTGGATGGTCTTGCATGGGAGACCATTCGGCGAACATCCCGTCAATTTTGGGTTGTTTAACGTCCAGTACTTTAACCGAAAGAGGACGTTCAATGGCGACGTTGATAATGATATACGTCAAAGCGAATGGATAGCCGGATTGAACTGTGTTCTTGTGAGTTGGGATACGATACTTGATTGATATAGTGCCCCTACTTCATGAGATACATCATTATGCCTTTACACCCAAATAGCACTTACATATATTAAACGACAGGTTAGGTTACCAAGCCAAATAAGAGGAACCGTAAGAGAACCACTTGCCTGTTTCGAGAACTCTCTCTTTCCATGAATTAGGCAAACTCCACCGCCAACGTGCTTTGAGGGTAAGTAAACGACCAGCGTTCGGAATACGTTCTCCGTCTCCTCCTTGCTATGACTGCCTGTCAGGAAGCATGTAAGATGTGAAGCTTTGGGTCCGACGTACTCTTTGAGGTTTGAAAAAGACATTCTCCTCGTACATCAGTAACTTGTAAAGCTCAGCTTATACGCCGGCCGCACTGCCATTGGTACCTAGGCCCTTAGAGACACTTTCGAGAACCTGATCAAGCCAGCTATTCCAGCATTCATTTTTGAATGTCAACTTTTTCCTGTCGATTTCCCAGGTCTTCCTCACAGTCTCATCAACTAATGTTTGCGTTCCCTTGCCAAAAGCAGCTCGATCGCTCACCCTAACCGGAGCCTCTGCATCTCCAGAGGACAAGGGGAAGTCTGACATAGCCGACGCCTTCGACAGTCAGACCAGGGAGGACGTGATCGACGTCGTGATCAGAGATGGCAAAAGATCCTGAACTGTGTATCCCTTCAAGGCAGCAGCCTGTTATCCGAGATCTCAAGGGCCCAAGAGAGTCTCCTTCGTATGATAAGAACCACTCTGAAGGCGAGGAAAACTCAGGGCTGGCGAATCAGAGGGAGACACTAGCTCGGAGCTGCTTCTGTTGTCGTGGCCCTGCCGCACTTCTCGATCATGGACAGCCAACCGTTTCGCGAATGCGGCAGCATCCTGAGTCACAAATGTCAATCATGGTGGCTCTTATGGCCCGGGATTGACGGGTTGACGACTGGAAGTTTTGTCTCAATACTTCCAAACAAAGGAATTGTGGAGATCCGGAAGGCTGGGCCAGGTCGGGCCAGGTAGGCAAAGAGCCGCTCCAGCACATTCCCATCACTCAGGAGTTCTCCCTCCCACGAAAAGAGCCCGACTGTTGGGATGTTCCCTCGTCGAGGATACTCGGTAACTAGGAAAATTTTTCGCTCTGTTTGGCTACGAGCAAAGACGCATACTTCTCAGAAGCCTGCCGCTCCCAATGGGAGCCTGATCCAGGATGTGACCAAAACCTAGCTCGGGAACCTTATAGCTATGTATTATTAGAGGTTGAGAGTCGCATAAAGAGGATAGACGTTCCTCTTTCCCGTAGGCCCAATGAATCACCGGGGAGATCCCAGATGGTATTTCTAATCTGCACGCTGTCACTGAGGATATCATGATCCTCGGTCGCAAGGGAAAGTCACCCGGCGGCCGTTGAGCTGGCTGCTGACACTAGCTCAACGGTCGAAATATTCAGTACTAATATCCGATAACTGAGAATTCTAGGTCTTTATCAATTAATTTTTAGAACTCGACGCTTATAACCTTTCTTACGGTCTTTTCGAGGTCGTTATGCTTCAACTTTAGTAAATAAATCGTATTTGGTAAGATAGCCACATCCAAGGCTCGAGGCTATTTAGTAGGTTGGCGATTTAGAATAAGACTCCCTTGAAGAACTCCACTTGCCGTAAGACACAAGAAGCCTGTTACATGTATGGTCAAAGCTTGTCATTCAGCTAGGTGCACTCTTAGGAAAGTATCCAATGGCAGGAGGGGTCTAGAAATTGGACTACGACTGCTGAGAAGGCTGAGCTCTGAGCAGATTGACCAAAGCGGCTAGGCCACATCCTAAAGCGGGTGACAAAGTTCGAAGGTCCAGTCGATGGTGAACACTCAATACCTGGAGAATCGTAGATGCGTTACTCGACCTATTTTGTGGCTCGGCAGAAAGGGGATGAGGCTATATATGTCTTTATCTAGTTCGATCTTCTCCCCACCTTGGAGATGTCCGTGGCTAATGCTGGGAGAAATATCTCTGTCTCCTGAGGCCATGATGTATGATAATGACTATTAGGCTAAGAGCTATAATGCTATATACTATCCCGTAGCAGCCAACTAACCACATTCTCTGCTCGGTCATTCTTCATGGGTCCGGATGTGCATCTTCTCGAGCAGGTTATTGCGCGCCCAGTAGCTGCGGTACTTCTTCCCCAGGAAGAACATGGCGGGCACGGTGGCGATGAGTGCGAAGGCGACGCCGCCCCAGACATAGAAGGCGTGCTGGGCGCCGACGCTGGCGGTCCAGTTATTGACAAAGTAGCTGAAGCCGTACAGGATCAGATTCTTGACCGACATGCTGGCGATGAAGATCTCGTTGGCCATCCCCCGGTACGCGTCCAGCGCGTAGTTGGACGTCCCGATGCACAGGAACATGACCCCGAACAGCATCAGGCCGTGCACCGTCGCGCACGCGTAGGGTGACGCGCCCTGCGAAACCAGGTGGCCGAAGAGCATGAGACCCACACCTGAGCATACGCCCAGGATGCACGGGATGAGGCGGTACTCGGGTTCGTAGACGCCCCTGTTGCGGCGCGCGCACCATTTAATGAACGGGTCGGAGAGTGTGCCCATGATGATCGACCCCAAAATTCCCCCCACGAACGGACCGAGTGAGAGGTAGCCAATGCTAGCCGGGCTGAGGAGGTATGGCGGCGGCGCGAAGAGCTGGGCCAGACAAAATGCGATGACCACGTACAGGACAACGTACATCGAGTTTATGATGAGGATCCACAGGACCGCCAGGTTGAGCACGACGGCAAAGGGCGCGATGATGAGTTGGAAGAAGTTCTCGTTCGAGTAGGTGCCGCTGAAGATGGCCAGCTCTTGCGCAAAGGTCTTCTTACGGTACACCGGCGTCGAGGGCGCGCTTGTTGTCTCTTCCGCGTGGGTAACAACGCCGGGTTTCTCCATGTTCAGTTTCTCCTGGTACTCGAGCGCGGCGAGGTCCTGGAGGTTGTCATTCTTGACCTCGTCGATTTCGTAGCGCCGGTCGCGCACGTAGCTTGTCTCGGGGACGAACAAGAACTGCAGGATGGTCTGGATACCCCCAAAGAGGACCAACAGATAATACCTGTAGAACTCGATCAACAGGGCTGCTCCAAAGAAAAAGACCCCCAAAGGGGATTTGGAGACAACACTTACAGCCACCGCCATCCGACATTCGACGCGATCGGGCCAGCGACCACACCCGTCAGGTTCGAGATTCCAGCCAAGATGAAATTGATGCAGGACGCGTAGATTCCACGCTCATGGACGAAGAACAGGTCGCTGATCAAAGTAAAGATGAGCGATTCGTACGGTGCAATGGCGAAACCCTGCAGGATCCGAGAGGCGAGCACTCCCTCGTAAGTGTCAACGCAGGAACCCACAATATCGGCAATGAGACAGAAGACCGACGCAAACAAGAAAATCGGTCTCGTGCCCCATTTCCTGGAAAGAGCTGAGAATAGAGGTCCTGTTACGCCAATGACCAGAGTTTGATATCCCGAGCTCAGCACGAGTTTGGGGATCGTCGTGTTGATCTCGATGGACATTTCGTAAAAGGCTGAGTTCAGCATCGCGCTGACGACGGCGGCGTACAGGATGGACCCCCAGCAGGTAATGCCCAAGGCTGTGAGTTTCTTAGTGTAAGGCCAGTTGAGCGGGTCGTTCGGATCGTTGGAAGGCTGAGGCACCAGCACGATGTGAGCATTGCGCCCCGTGCCATGTTTGAGCCCGCCAGTCACGTCCTGTGAGTGCGCGGCGTCTTCTTCAAGGATGACAGTGCCCGGGACGTGCGGGATCTTGGTGTCGTCGAGAATGCCGAGAAAAGGCATCTTGCTATGAGTGGCTGGATTGGGTGATCCGGTAGCGCTGCCTGCCTGGGCAAGGATGGATGTGTGGGCAAGGAAGGATGGCTCAAGGAGATAGCAACAGTGAACAGCGGAGGGAGGGCGCGGAGTTCGGCCGTTTCTTATAATTTGGGATCCCTTTTCTTTTCTGACGTCGCTTACAGAAAGAAGCTCTTCACAGGACTTAGTGTGACCCAAAGCACACGCGGTCCCTGCCTCCCACCCATGGCACAGGAGGAGGGAAGCCTTGGGAGAAGCAGACGAGATTCCCCGATGTTGAATTTCTCCATTTAGGTACTAGCTGAGCGCCTCCACCCGCCCCATTTGCCCCACTTCTCCAACCGCCCACCGCCTTTCCATTTACGGAAAAACCTGGAGAGCCATCTGGGGGACAGTATATCATACGCTGAGCAGTGAGTATACAAGGCGCCACAGGTACTTTCCCCGTTCAGAGACAGAGAAGAGGTACGTGGGGTTCTCCAATTCCCATAGGTGGCTAGACAACCAGGATCGCTTTGATCCAGTCCACACGTGGCCTCTGCAATATGATCATCTCTCTTGCCAGGGGCTGTTGACACGAACGTGTTCTTGGCCAGGGACCTACACCCCAGCTCCTCGAAAAGATGCTTTCCCAAAAGCTTGGACAGCACAGTTCCCCGAATCGCTGCAGGTACAATCATTTAGCGTAAAGTTTCTGTGCGGCCGAGGCCGGTCACGAGGTGGCATAAAGAGTATGAAGGAGGTACTGTTGTAACAAAAAGAAACTTGGATAATATAATTGCAAGCACTTGAATATTACATGCCCCACGTCAATTGAAACTCGTTTGGAAGTGGCCTTGCCCCAACGCATAGCCAAATTCACACCCTACATTTGAATCACTGGACTCCAAAACACCTTACTTTTCCTCCTTCGGGTATCAGTCTCAATTTGTTCCCACTGTTGTTATGTTCCCAATCCGCCGACGAACAGATAGTCCTATATTAAAGAAACTCATGGCAAAGATCCGTGCGCCTCCGGCACAGGCCTGAGTGTCGGTCTCAGAGGCACAGGTCTTTTCGAAGTGCCCTCCAACGGCGCGAGACTCCGTGAAGACACCTCTCCCTTCACCACTTGCTCACGGGTGATTTGGAGCAGATCGCTGGGCAAACCCATGCTGGCCAGGAACGCAACAGTGTCTTTCCACTCGGCCTGTTTTCTTTTTTCGCTCCATTCCAGTTCTTCGGCCATGATGTCAATCACCTTGGGCAAAGCATGCAGCGCCGCCTGCGCATTCAGAAAGCTCAGCCTCGTCCGCCTCGCGAGAACGTCTACTGCGGTTTGCGCATATTCACTGCGGACAGCATAGCGGACTTCGCCGTCGATGAATGGATACAAAGATGATAGCCGTTGACCACGGAGAGGATAGTGTTCGGTGTTGTCAGTAGGAGAAGCCAGCGCCGCGACATCCCAAGCCCGGTCGCCGTAATCGCTTGCCAAATGCTTCGCAACATCTGGGTCAAGACCAAAGTGCTGGATCAGGTTGATGAAGAGAGTTGTCGAGTACCCATGAGCTCCAATCAGGCGAATATGGTGCGTTTGACAGGTTCCATTGAGAAGACCAACCGATGGATCAATTCCGTTGACGCCGCTGATATCCGGCACATAACTGATCGCTTTCGGTTGTAGCTTGAAGACTTTAATCGCTTTGTCGACTGCATCTTCAGCCATTTGTCGGTAGGTGGTCCATTTACCGCCGGCGC